TTTTTTTTATGTCTTAATAAAGTTTTAATATAAAATTTACCAATTTTTTATGGTACTTGATAAGTTCATAATATAATACTAATTTAGTCTTGATTTTATTAATATTTAAATAAATTTAATATAATTTTACTTGATTTTACATTATTTTTATTATTTTGTGTAGAATAAAACTTTTTAAAAATCATAAATTTTGAACCAATAATAATGTTTTACAAAGTAAAAGGATGAAGGTTAAAATCTCTTGTTGGTCTCTTAAAAAAGGATCTTTTTTAGTCGTTCTACTTAAAAAAGTTTTTGTTTAGTCTTTAAAGTTTAAAAATCGTTTAAAAGTCGATTCTTTTTTAGTCTCTTCGTTATCTTTTTACATAAAAGTCACGTTAGATAATAAAAATTTCAAAGCAAAGAGATAAAAAAAGTTTTTTTTTTTTTTTTGTAGATGAATCAAAAAGGTTTTTTTAAAGTAAAGGGAGAAAAAAGGGGCTTTGTTTAGTCCCTTTATTTTAGAATTTCTATCATTCAATGTGCTATATATACAAAAAGTAATTGAGGGTTTAAAAAGAGGTTGGATTTTAAATTTTAAGAGATCAAAAAGGGGGTTTTTTTAGTGAAAAGACTAAATATGGGCTTTTTGTTAAAGTAGAAGGACCAAAATAGAGTTTTAGCCTAGAAGGAATAAGTGGAAGAAATTAGGGGTCAAATCATAAACTTATGAAATATAAGGACTGAAGTTAAAAATTTTAAAAATTTGAGACTAATACCATAATTTTACCATAAAAAAACAAAAGTTCACAATAGAATTATGTATCTGACAGCTTTTCTCGCTTTTTTCTGCTTTTTTCTTTGTGATTTGTATAATTGTAATCGTCTTATAATTGGAAAGATGTCCAAGAAATGCCAATTCCTATCATAAGAAAGTAAGAATAAGATTAATAAAAAATTAAGTATTATTATTGTCGGATTGTAAAATTTATATATTAGATTTAAATTATTTTTTATTAAGTATTTTTTTAAAAGAATTAGTGTTTATTTGCATTAATATAAATTACATCATTTCAATAAAAAATTATAAAAAAAAGATAAAAAATAATCTAATTTATGTTTTAAAAATAAGGTATTTTAGTCTTTTTATTTTAAATAGAAGTTTACTAAAATAATATAGTTTTACAAAGATTTTTCTTTTAATTTTTAGAAGGCAAAATGGATTAATATTATTTCCTTTTTAAAAAAACTTATTAGGTATTTATTGAAGATTTTTGTTTTAAGTTCATTAGATATTTATTAAATATTTTTTAAAGTCTAATAAATATTTATTTGAGTATTTTAAAAAAAATTTATTGTTGTAATAATTTTATATATAGTTAAGATAATCCTAAAATAACCAACCCCGTAAGCATTAGTAGACAAAAAAAAACCCATGGCATGAGGGGTTGTGGGGTCACAAAATATGTTTAATTATTGTTTGCTTAACTAGCTAATAATGGAAAAGAGAAAGGGCAAAAGAGAGTGAAAATGGAAGAATGGAAAGAAGCAAGAATCTAATTCGACGTGATTCCCTTGGTGTCTGTAGTTTTTAAAAGTTTATAAATAGGGTGTGCTCCTTGCTTTAATGGATACCTCATCCTCACCTGAAGCTAGCTAGCTAGTTTTCAAGAACTTATATTTCCCATCTCACTTGCCATTGTCTCACATATCTGCATTATGATACATAGAGGGAGCGAGGATGGAGCGCAAAAACTTTATGCATGAGCATACACTGCGCTTCTTTGAAGAGTGGAGCAATGTCACTAGAGGTGTAAATTGCTCATCAGGATGTGGGCAGCCAATCTCAACTCAGTTCCATGCGTGCATCCCCTGTAAGTTTTTCCTTCATAAATCATGTTCTGAGCTACCGTTGAACATCACTCACCCCTTCCATGATAAGCATCCTCTCATTCTTCTATCTGATTCACCATACAAAAGTGGGGGTGCACGTTGTCGTTTTTGTAGAAGTAGGGTCGATGGATTTGTTTACCACTGTTCTTCTTGTAAATTTGACCTCCACATCAAATGTGCCTTTCTCCCACAATTCCTCACCGGAAATTTCCCAAAACGTGATCATCTTTTTAGTGATGTTGATGAACACCCACTCTTCTTCATTCAAAAGGACCTTATTAGCAACAACAATAAAGTTGAACTACATTCTTATTGCTTTGTTTGTCGAGTATCATTATCTGGTAGTTCTTTTTATTATTGCCCAGAATGTCAATTTTTTCTTCATAAATCATGTTTTTTTGAGAAGCTACCTTTGAAAATTAATCACTCTTTCCATTATAAACATGCTATTACACTAACCAAAAATAAGAATAATGAAATAGCATGTAACTTTTGTCTTAATGTTACCAATGGATTTATGTACAAGTGTCGTTCTTGCGAGTTCTACCTTGACACCCAATGTGCTTTGCTCATCACCAAAGATCTCCCAAAACGTGATCATCATTTTAGCCATGTTGAACACCCACTCGTCTTCGTCAAAATGCTCAGCGACGAAGTTGAAATACATTCTTCCTGCTCTGTTTGCTCAAAACCATTATTGGGCACTTCTTTTTACAATTGTCCTGATTGTGGATTTTTCCTTCACAAAGAATGTGAGGCAGAGTTGTGGCCTAAGATTGAGCATGTTGCCCACCCTGAACACCCTCTTATTCTTGTATTTTCAAAAATGCGTACCTGCAACTTTTGCCAAGGCCGAAGTTATGTGAAGAAATTTGGATATGAATGCTCCCCTTGTGACTTTTATATTCATCATGAGTGTACCTGTACCTTACCCAAGTCCTTCCATAAAAGTAAGATCCATGACCACCAGTTGAGCCCATTCATGAGGAAAAATCCCTTCATTTGCGATGCATGTGGGGTGGAAGGAGATGGTGCTCGCTATGTTTGTTTGAAGTGCAGCATCATGATCCATCGGGATTGTATTTTCCTGCCAAAACTCATCAAATTCAAACTGCACAATCATCATATACTCGGCCACAACTACAGGTTTCCACAAAAAGTGGGTGAAAAATGGACCTGTCAATTTTGTTTCAAAAAGGTGGTGGCAGAGTATGGGAGTTACAAATGTTTGCACTCAGATTGTACTTATGTTCTTCATGGGAGATGCGTAAAAAAGAATAAAGATCGTCTTTATATCGAAGTTGAGTCAGAGAATGAAGAAAGTGATGATGAGGCTTCTTCTTCTTCAAGTTGTGCTGTGGCGCTAGGAGACAAGATAGATCATTTCAGCCACGAGCATGAATTAGTGCTTGATAAGGAGGAGATTATTATGAATGGTGATAAAAAATGTTGCGATGGCTGTGCATTACCGATCTTGGAGGCCGCTTATAGTTGTCCACAAGCAGAGTGTAATTTCTCCCTTCACAAGGCCTGTGCCCAAATTGGAAAGCACAAACCACATTGGGCTTCCCAAGATCCTCTTCAAGTCAGCATGAAGCGCCTTTTTAGTTGTCAATTTTGTGAGTATGACTGCAGCGGTTTTTATTGCTTTGAAAACAGATATGGTATTTGCTTCAGATGTAGTGAGATCTATTTCATCACTACCCATGAAGCACATCCATTGCATCCCCTCTTCTGTGATCGAGAGCACAAGGGACAATGTAGTGGCTGCGGTAAAAAAATGGGTCGTTATGGTGGTTACAGATGCACGCTAGCAGAGGAAGAGGAGAAATGCAAATTTTTTGCCTTGGACTACAGATGCCTGACACGGCCCCTTACAGCTGAACATAGGTTCCACCATCACCCTCTAAAACTCACTTATGAAGATCCTTACAAGGATGATGATGGTGATCCATTTCAACACATGTGTGAAATCTGTGAAGATAGAAGAGATCCAAAGCTGTGGTTTTATCGGTGTGATGAGTGCGATTTTGATGCTCATCCCGATTGCGTTCTTGGAGATTACCCATTCATCAAGCGCGGGACCATTTGTTATTATCATCCCTATCTGAATTGTGATTCTCATCAACAACCTCTCATATATTTCCAGAGGGAGAAATATCCCTATCCGAAATGTCGTAAGTGTGGCAAATCTTGCAAAGATCAGCTGGCTCTTAAATGTCCCCACTCTGAATGCAACTTTGCTCTACATTTTGAGTGTCGACCTTAACGTCTTCCCAGTGAACAGCAGTATAGAGTCCAGACTGGATGGGCTGAACTGACCCAAAACGGCAAGCATTGAAGACGTTTTGATGATACATGCTTCCGCTATTCTGCGTCCCTCTGCTATAAAAAAAACTGCGAGAACCATCCCCATGATTGCTTGATCAGTTGCTGCTTCCGCGAACGATTTCCTGCTTAGGTTTGTGCCCATCATTTGCTGGGTTTGCTTTCTGAAAATAACAGGTAAGGAATTGCTACCTATTTCCGCTCAGAATTTGCTGGGTTGCTTCTCAATTGTTTTCATCTTCTTTTTTTGATTTACATAGTGCAGATTCGGCCACCGGCAATGAAGACTTTGCCCTTGATTCCATGCTCTGTGTCTCAAATTTAAGGCTCATACCAGACCAAAACGATGGAGAAGAGGAAATTCACACAAAGGGATGCCTTTACTATTCTTCTGCTATAAAATCCA